CCGCCCGGGGGGGGTGGGGGGGGGGAGGCAGGACAGACGTCAGCTCTTCTGCACTGGCAGCACCTGCACCCTGAGAGCGATGCCGCACGCACAGCTTCTCGGCTTCCAGCGTATTTTCAGTTTTCTATTCTCTCCTCCGCGGCATGTAAAGTGGGGAAGTGAAATAAAAGACTTTCCGCTGTTTATCCGTCTCGTCTCAGGGTGTGTGTGGGCGCAGGCTCTTGAAGCATCCAGTGCGTCCAAGCTGTGTAACAGAGGCACCCCCTGCTCTGGGGGAACAAAACCAGGGCAGATTTTGTGTCATGTGTTTCTGTAATTCATATTTAAACCCAGAAGAACAATGTAACATATTGCAGCTTCCCAGTCCTTAGATGTCGGCGGCTGCATTAGTTTTCCCTTTTCAGGGTTTTTCCCCTTTATTTCCTTCTTGTGATCCTGCCCGTAACACGCTTAGTGACAACGCACACTTATCATACCGTATCTATGGAGCAGCGTTGTCACCCTAGGGCAAGACTACAGGACACCACCCTCTCTCCTTATCTCCATGACAAAGGGGGAGTGGTTTAAATAACAACTGACATGGAGTTGTAGTCTCCAGGGGAAGACATTTCCATGCACACAGATGACTTCCTGTTTGGCTATCCCATTGAAAGACAATACAGGGAGCTCCCTGACGAGCCTCCTCCAGCCTAAGATGGCTGATTTCATGGAAAGGTTGGGTGCACTTGATGTTTTTAGTCTTTTCGGTGGATCGTCTACAGATCGGCCCGCACTGCAAACTCTCAATTCGCGACCTCAGAGCTGCAATAAAATCTGTCTGTGTTCCCCAAACACGCGTCGCAACCGCACTGTGATCTCATTGACATTTATCGTGTGGTTTGCTCGCCTTCACTCTGACACCACAGAGTGAGATATATATGTCAGCAGCCGGCCACTTTGCATGGGGAGCCGAGTGTGTCACCGGGTGAGGCAGTTCCACGCCACCCCCCAAGCGCGTAGTTTACGTTGCGTGAACATAAAATTGCCGAGTAAATTTTCGTTTCTTTTCGGGTTCTGCGACTCATCGAAAAGAAAAAGAAAAAACATTTACTGGACTCGCCACAAACTAAGAGATTTTTTTTTTTTTTAGAATTAGTACGAGGTGATTAATAGGGGAAGCCCCTTCCATCGGGGGACGAGGAAATGAAAATACATCGATGATCTGTCACTTATCCAGAAATCACCGGCGGGGGAGGGGCTAGGAGGGGAGGAGAACAGCCCCCCGGATATTAGACTTAAAGGACAACTCCAGATGTATGAAAGATTGACATGGACATTGTCCACTGATATGGAACTGATCTGGAAAATAAAAACCAATTTGTAGTCAGAGTCTGCTTACCTGGATCTGGCCGCGAGTGCGTGGCCCGAACCTTCCGTCATCCGTGGCGATAGTCTCTCCCTCTGAAGTGGAACAAGAATATAACAGACATCGACTTACAGACCTGAGGGGTGCCTTGGTCCGAGTGGTCGCTACACCAAATAAGGGGGCATACCCTGAATATATGGACAGTGAAAAACCGCGGGATGGGTGGGAGGGTTGCAATGCCGAGCTCAACACACCCGGAAGACTGAGCGGGCGGCTCCTTAAGAGGGCTGAGGGGGACGCCGACTCCTCCCACAAATGCGGCTAACACATTAGCCTAAGACTTATTCCATTCCTTTTTCCATTAAAAAAATAAAAATAGAAGAAAATGGAAATGAAAAGCAAGGGAAGGAAAGAGAATTAAAAAGAAGGAAATTCATTATTATTCCCTTTTCTCCATGAAAAAAAAAAAGGAAAAGAAGGGACAGGAAACCAATTCATTAAAGTGACATTAAACCCTCAGATTTTTTAACATAAACCAATACTGTAATGTGCGCCTTACTGTCATCCATGGTTGTTTCCCTTCTCTTTGCTGCTCTTCCTTTTAAATCTGTATCTGTTCTCATGCTGGGCAGAACTTCTGTTTTGTAGCAGACTGCCTTGTCTCTGGAATGGATACATGGGGGTTGATTTACTAACCTTCTCTGTAGTGTGTTCCCTCCCAGCATGATCTATGGGTGGAATCTAGACACCTTTGTAGTGTGTACACACCCAGCAGGTGTGTTGTGCAAAGCCTTGCATGAATTGCAAGGTGATGTTGTGTAAATTAGCTCTACGTTGTGTTGCTTGCGTTGATGAATGCAGGAATGTAAATGCATGAGCTAACCATTTTTGTCTAAACTGTGAAGCAGCATTATATATGCATCATGTGCATGATTTTTCCATATATGGAATTAGTGGAAATATGCTTTTAGAGACTTGCATGCCGCTATTAGAGCGGCGTGTAGCGTATGGAGCATGCTACATGACGCGCACATATGTAAATACATAAAAACGTTTGAAAACGTGACACGTTGCTCGTGTTTGGTTGATAAATACGTTTAGCTGTGTAAAAATGCACACGCGTCTGGTGCGTGTTTGTGTTTAGGTTAGTAAATCACCCCCATGGTGTCTGTGTGCAGGTTCACAACCTGAGCCAGGACTACAGGAAGAGGCCCTGAGCTGCAAAGGGAAGTTCTCCCCCAGCATGAGAAGACATGAGGATTTAAAAGGAAGAGCAGCAAAGAGAAGGGAAACTACCATGGATTACAGTAAGGCGCACATTACAGTATTGGTTTATGTTAAAAAATCTGAGGGTTTAATGTCACTTTAACTTTCCATTTTCCATGATGAAAAAAATTAAAAGAATGAAAAGGGAGAGGAAATGGAAAAGGAAAGGTTCTGCAACCAATTAATTATTATTCCCTTTACTCTGTGAAAAAAAGGAAAGGAAGAGAAAAAAAAATGTATTATCATTTCATTTTCCATGAATACAAAACTGAAAAAAATGGGAAGGGAAAAGGAAAGGATCTGCAACCAATTATTATTTCCTTTTCTCCATGAAAAAAGGAAAGGAAACCAGTTGCAATTGGTGAGGGTGCTCTCCGCACACCTTTCAGCAGTCCCGGCCAATCGACAAAGATGGTGCTTGTAGTAACTCCACGGATGGCACCGTGCAAAATATACAATTGGAAGAATAGGTCACCAGCACTCCAAGTATTTAAAATGAATAAGTCCTTTTTATTGGACAATAGTGTCACAAAGATCAAAAAGAGCCGACGTTTCGGGGCCGCGCAGGGTCCCTTCCTCAAGGCAAGAGATGTGTGTCACAAAGATCTTTTTGATCTTTGTGACACTATTGTCCAATAAAAAGGACTTATTCATTTTAAATACTTGGAGTGCTGGTGACCTATTTTTCCAATAGGAAAGGAAACCAATTAAATATCATTCCATTTGCCATGAACAAAATTTGGAAAGGGAAAGAAAAGGAAATGGAAAGGGAAAGAAAAGGAAAGGATTTGTAACCAATTCGTTAATATTCCCTTTTCTCCATGAAAAAAAGGAAGGGAAGGGAAAAGAAACCAATTTATTATCATTCCATTTTCCATTGAAAAAAAACCTACAAAAAATGGAAAGCGAAAGGAAAAGGAAAAGGAAATGATCTGCAACCAATTATTATTCCCTTTTCTCCATGAAAAAGGAAAGGAAACCAATTAATTATCAGTCCATTTCCCATGAAAAAAAGGGAAAGGAAAGGATCTGCAACCAATTAATTAGTATTCCCTTTTCTCCATGGAAAAAAAAGGAAGGGAGGGGGAAAAAAAACAGTTCATTATCATTTAATTTTAATTTAAAACATTTTAGAAAGTGGAAAAGAAAGGGAAGGGAAGGAAAGAAAAAGGAATGAAATTAAAAGGAAGGGAGGAAAAATGACTGAAAAAGAAGGGCAAGGGAAAGAGAAAGGATCTGCAACCAATTCACTATTTTCCCTTTTCTCTGTGATAAAAAAAAATTGAAAGGAAGTCAAAGGGAAAGGAAACCACTTCATTACATTTTCAATTTCCATGAAAAAAATTAAAGGAAAGGGATCTGCAACCCTGAAAGTAACAATCTGGAAAGAAGGGAAAGGAAAAGGAAGTGAAGGACAGGAAGGGAAAGGACAAGAAGGGGAAGGGAAAGGACAGGAAGGGGAAGGGAAAGGACAGGAAGGGGAAGGGAAAGTAAAAAATGCTAATATACAATCCGTAGATGGATCTACATCCTTTTATTCATACGAGGAATCATTCATGAGACGTGGACTCTATTATTTGGTCTGGTGCTCCTGTTGGAATTGTTTTACATTTTGAGTCACTTTCTGGCCACCCACTGAAGGGGAGTCTTGCTTCTCCTGAGCAGCCGTGCCAGAGCCAGTCAGCGTGTTGAATAAATATGTTTTTTACATTTGATTTAACAATCACCTCTTGAGCATGGTGTATTATGTTATTGAAGGCAGACATGGTTACAGCATGCTTTGCCTGTGCACTGTGAGAGGGGCCCTCATGCCTTCTATGGACACATCTACATTCTGCAGCTTTACCTCAGGACAGTATATGTGTTAGTTTTATATTCGCCGCTGCTCTCCCGTGCCGAAGGTCAGTGAAAAAAAAACCATAGCGCAAACATCGGGGCATTTTGACAAGTACAAGTACGACAGGGGATCGGGGGAAGGGGTCGGGATCGGGGGAGCGCAAAATTGCACCTTGCCCACCTTGACTAAAATCCTAGCACCGGCCCTGATTACAATGCAGCGATTGGAGTTGATTTACTAAAGGCAAATTGGCTGTTCACTTTGCGAGGGAGATTTTTCCCTAGCTTCGTCATTCGTTTGTAAAGAATACGCAATCACATGCAGGGAAGGAATATAAAAACAACAGTATTTTTGCTTGCACGTGATGAAAGATGGAAGTCAGGAGAGCTTCTCCTCATTCACTGAGCTGAGAGATCTTTCCCTTGCAAAGTATTCCCAATCAAATGCAGGGAAGGAATATAAAAACAAAAGCTAAAAGAACATCCATCCCCTTGCAAAGTGAACAACCTTTTTTACCTTTAGGAAATCATCCCCATTGCCTCCTACAAAATGGGGTGACAAGTTTTGATAATGGGTTCCTTGGGATTATAGCATTGCAACACTGTTACATTTTGTTTCCATGTAATCTACATATTTGGTGTTATTGA